CTCACTGAATCAATTCCACCCACTGAATCAGTTCCACCCACTGAATCAGTTCCACCCACTGAATCACTTCCACCCACTGAATCAATTTAAAGTATTAATGCATACTTAAAATTGTACTATTTTCATTTAGTTACCACTTTATTTGTGTTAATACAAAATTAAAATCATACTATTGTTCACGTAGCAACATAACTTTTTGCACATTTAAGAAAACTTACTAAATAACCTATGTCTAGTGGTGTCTGGTGGCCTGGTGGCTAACGCTCTCGCTTCACACGGCGAGGGTCTGGGTTCGATTCCCAGCCAGAGTAGAAACATTGGACTTGTTTCTTTCCACCTGTTGTCTATGTTCCCCATCAGTAAAATGGGTACCTGGGTGTTAGTCGACTGGTGTGGGTCGCATCCTGGGACACTGACCTAATTTGCCCGAAATGTACCGAAATGCGGAGCATAACAAGGGACTTTCTATATAGTAGTATGTCATTGTTGTCAGCTAGGACTGTATACCTTGTACATGTACTTGTAGTAAATAAAGATATAAGTAGTCTGCAAGTACTGTGATTAGGCTGCCCGAAATGCACCGCATGCTAGTGGCTTTCAAGATTTTATTACATGTAAACCAAATTTTGTATACTACATAAAAGAAACAAAGTTGTATGGTACTGAACCACAGACACTCAGTGCGAGGCGAGTGCTCTCACAACCCAGCCACGGGACACGGTCTGTCCCCTCGTCAGCCTAACACAGCTTCCACATTTCTTGTGGAATCCAGGCTAGTAAGTTTACTCAGGTATACACAAATACAGTTACATAGGTTATGATACATAGCAGCATATGTGTAGAGAACCTTGGATAACCCAAGAAAGTCATCCTAGATGCTGAAGCATCTTCCTTCGGTGGGCACCAGCGGATGTTGGCATCTGGGCTACAGTGAGTTCATAGAACCACAAGAGGGATTTAGTTCAAGATCCGTCAACTCTGGCAGAGTTAGGAGCTCATTCCGGGCTTTCAAAGACCACTGCTCTTGTTCTCGTCATCCAAATCGATCAGTGAATGTAGGTGTGATCCAACTCCGGGTAAGAGATTCATGGAAGCAGTTCATCTGCACTGCCTCAAGCTGATGGAATCACCATCCTGGCCATGTTCCTCTCAGTCTTAGTGCAGCACTTCCTACTGTGGTACCACTGATACCACTCTTCGCAGACCTTCCGTTCATCCCCCTCAGGGAAGGTTTCTTGACGCTGGTGAGGGGCTCTTGATCTAGGGAATTGGATTTGTGCTCCGGTTCCCTAAATTGAGCCTAAATACCTTCCATCCTCCCCCCCACATGCGCTGTATAATCCTACGGCTTTGGCGCTCCGCATGATTATAATAATAATAATAATCCTCTGTGCACCCATGTGGGGCGCAGTTAGGATATTATGGCCGATATTGCGCCTTCCTGCGGACCTCGGGGCGCAATTAATTTAGTTGTGCCACGTGATCGGCTATGTTATTGTGATGTAAATGGTTTAGAAAACGGACAAGTTGAAGAATGAGACACTTGTGCAATATTTGGGAATCTTTATTGAGGAAATGTTTCGCCAGCCAGTGGTTTCTTTAGTTCAATACAGAGAAGAACGGTTTGAGGAAACAGTCCCTCAACTTGGAGTCGATGTGTTCAGTTCATCAATCTTGATGTCTTGTAACTCGGTTGCTAGCACACTCAGCTCGCACAATGAGGTCTACGGTTCGATCCCCGGTACGAATGAAAACATTAGGACATGTTTCCTAAGACACCTGACCTAGAAAATGTACAGAGAACCTTCACGGCGCGCATAACGGAGTTATAATTACTGGGAGCGCTTGAGGTTCCTGAACCTGTATTCCCTGGAACGCAGGCGGGAGAGATACATGATTATATACACCTGGAAAATCCTAGAGGGACTAGTACCGAACTTGCACACGAAAATCACTCACTACGAAAGCAAAAGACTTGGCAGACGATGCAACATCCCCCCAATGAAAAGCAGGGGTGTCACTAGCACGTTAAGAGACCATACAATAAGTGTCAGGGGCCCGAGACTGTTCAACTGCCTCCCAGCATACATAAGGGGGATTACCAACAGACCCCTGGCAGTCTTCAAGCTGGCACTGGACAAGCACCTAAAGTCGGTTCCTGACCAGCCGGGCTGTGGCTCGTACGTTGGTTTGCGTGCAGCCAGCAGTAACAGCCTGGTTGATCAGGCTCTGATCCACCAGGAGGCCTGGTCACAGACCGGGCCGCGGGGACATTGACCCCCGGAACTCTCTCCAGGTAAACATAGCAGCAAGACGGTACCTGGGACTTAGTCGACTGGTGTGGGTCACATCCTGGGAACAAAATTAACCTAAGTTGCCCGAAATGATCTGCATAACCAGGGGCTTTCTACAGAATGTCATTGATAATAATAATGTTTATTTCTACAAGTACAAGGTATACAGGCCTAGCTGACATCAATGACATACTGATATATAGAAAACCCCTGGTCATGTAGAGCATTTCGGGAAAATTAAGTCAATTTTGTCCCCAGGAAGCGACCCACACCAGTTGATTAACACTAGGTACCTGTTTTACTGATAGGTGAACATGGACAGCAGGTGTCTAAGGAAACACTTCCTAATGTGACCCATAGTGGGGATCGAACCACAAACCTCAAGTGCACTAGCGATCGAGTTAGGAACTCCAACTAGGCGTTCATCATGTACTTGTAGAAATAGATTATTATTATTATTATTATTATTATTATTATTATTATTATTATTATTATTATTGGGGTCCTTGATGTTCATTCCATTTTAAACAGTTACCCTGACACTAGGTTCCATACAGAGTAAGTTTTCAGTGCCACTATAAACCCCAACAAGGAGGAAACTTGGAGTCCACGCCAGCATTGTGCACACGAACCAGCATCTTGTGAGATGGTCTGGTGATGCTAATAACCTCGTCGTTGAAGCACCTTGAGCACAAATTAAGACGTAGTGCCCAGACGTCATACAAGTGAGTATGGCTACTGTCACTGGTTTGTCAGAAAGTTTTAACTATATTCATTGTTTTACTGTAATTTGTCCTTCAAGCGCGGGGGGGGGGGGGATGGTGATGATAAAGGGCTCTTGATCCAAGGAATTTGACTTACTCTCCTATATGGAGAGAAATAATATAAAATACCGAAATGATGGAAGAAAATTAGACGTAGTTAGGTAATGTTTGTCAGGAAACATGACAAGTGTTTCCTGACGCTGGTCTTAGTTATATTATGACCCACAGCTGGAGCTTTTGGTCATCTGACAGAGGCCTTTCGCTGGCTTGTTATCTCATTCTTTATTGACAGGGCTTGGCCAACACAGTGAGATTTATCAAATCTTTATCGCTTGGTAAAGACAGTGCCCGGGCGAAACGTCGTTAATAAAGGGTTGCATTATCCTGTAATTGTCTCTTTTACTACCGTCCCTTTTCTTGGATTAAACCCGATTGTCTCCAATTATTCCAAACACTATATGACACAGGTTTAGTGCTCCTATCATGAATATATTAATCATAAATAGCCAAGAGAATGTTAAAGTGAGGAGACATTATTTGCCCTTGTAATAATTTTTTTTTAATGCTACCCATGCCCACCGATAAAATGGGTAATGTATGGGGCGCCAACTATAACTATCAAATCAAGGGTATATAATATCTTGATATATACAATGTATGTGTGTCCTCACCTATATGTGGTTGCAGGGGTCGAGTCAAGTGGCCTGCGTGTGTGCGCGTGCGTGCACACACTCCTGGTGCGAGAATGGGCTGAATAAATCTCATTTTCTCAACTATTCACACACTCGACAAAAAAAATATATTTTTTTTAATTATTAATATATATTCTCCTGCTCAGTTATACGTTGCATATATTCCCGAGGATATACCTGGATACAGACATACCTATGACCGGTTTCTATTGTTCTGCCCTGGCAGCCCAGCCTGAGGTTAGGCTTCCTTGTTGAGTGCCTGGTTAACCAGGCTGTTGCTGCTAGCTGTCAGTAGGTCCACAGAGCCATCACAACCTGTAACAGGCAGTGGTCCAGCTGCTTCTAACAGACTTGTACTTTTGGTTATAATGAAGTAGTTTACTGGTTAACTGCACGTAACTATCAATATGACCAGGTCATGTTTAGATTTAATGACCAGATCTGGAGTTTACCTGGAGAGAGTTCCGGGGGTCAACGCCCCCGCGGCCCGGTCTGTGACCAGGCCTCATGGTGGATCAGAGCCTGATCAACCAGGCTGTTACTGCTGGCTGCACGCAATCCAACGTACGAGCCACAGCCCTGCTGGTCAGGTACCGACTTTAGGTGCTTGTCCAGTGCCTGCTTGAAGACGGCCAGGGGTCTATTGGTAATCCCTTTTATGTATGCTGGGAGGCAGTTGAACAGTCTTGGGCCCCTGACACTTACTGTGTTGTCTCAACGTGCTAGTGACACCCCTGCTTTTCATTGGGGGGATGTTGCATCGTCTGCCGAGTCTTTTGTTTTCGTAGTGAGTGATTTTCGTGTGTAAGTTCGGTACTAGTCCCTCTAGGATTTTCCAGGTGTATATAATCATGTATCTCTCCCGCCTGCGTTCCAGGGAGTACAGGTTCAGGAACTTCAAGCGCTCTCAGTAATTGAGGTGTTTTATCTCCGTTATGAGCGCCGTGAAGGTTCTCTGTACATTTTCTAGGTCAGCAATTTCACCTGCCTTGAAGGTACTGTTAGTGTGCAGCAATATTCCAGCCTAGATAGAACAAGCGACCTGAAGTGTCATCATGGCTTGGCATCCGGTATGATGTCAGTAGCCAGGTCGATGTTGTCTTAATAGCCACGATTAGTTTAATTCAACAATACACTGTTACTGAGTCTAAAAGAAAAATCACAGGATTTCAGATTTTAATCTTATACAAAATATAAACTCTGCGCTCATTGACAAGATAAAACAGAAAAAAATAGATGGCTTAACTTAC